TGAGGTCAACGCGCTAACCACTGGACCACCGGGGCCGCCAGCGTCGCTAAAAATTGGGCATCATTTTGCATGTCGGTATATGACAACTCAGAAAAAGCCTTGCAGCTTGAAAAATGAATGCATTCATAAAGCCAAGTGCAAAAGCATGATAAAAGCACGAGGAAAAAATATTACTCGGAAGTCAACACCAATCTATTGTTGATGAAAAATAGCATCAGGTGAAGCCGCAACGTTGTCCTATTTTGATGTCGGAAAATAACAAATTAATGATCCAAAGTAGGATGATTATTTAAGAGCGACAATAACTGCACTCCCCCGTAAACTCGTCTTGCGCTGCTAGTAAATGAATTACTATAACAAAACATGAATCAGGTATATTTTCGTAATGCATTCAACGGCTAATTTAATAGCTTTAAGTTTCTGATGCTTTTATTACTTTGTACACCCATTCCTGAAGTTTCCCCTCAAAAAAAAATACACCATCTTCCTCCTCATGAGTCGGTCCTTTGCGTAAGTAAAGTGGAAAGTCTCTCCATGAAATGGCCACATCGCTGGTGCCGGAAAGCTGACTGGTCGCTGCGCATAGCACTCGACGCAGCCGGTGAGACTGGAAGTCTAAATTAAAAACACAGAGCCTTCCCAGCAGCTGTGACCAACCCAAAATGGAATTACAAAGCAAGCCGCTGACCCAGAGTTACGGTGCTATCAGGACGCTTGGTGGCAAAATTCATATTTCCAACCCGAATGACGACATCTCAGAGCCCAAAAAAAAAAAAAAAAAGGCACCTGTCAAGGCCTGGACACACACACACTTAGTCCAACAAAAAGGCTGCCGAAAAAAATCGACAAGGTTCTTCTTACCACGACGGGCCGTTGAATCCGTTCAGTCCTCTCCATGCCTCCTTTGCCACACTCTCCTCACCGCGGCCGACCCAGGGGGGGGCAGTGCCGGAGTCCGCAGACTGTGTGTGTGAAGTGGCAACTAGTGTGCGTGTGCTAGCTTGACAAGTGTACATGAGCAGAGAGATCCAGAAAAGAGTCCAGTGTGTGTGTGTCTGTGTGTGTGTGAGTGTGTGTGAGTAAACCGGGAGACGCTCTGTTAACCTCCAACCCCTTTCCGCCCAGCCAACCCCACCGCACTCTCCCGTGTACCTCCACAACCCAAAGGAACGTGAACCTTGTGTAAAGGAAGGGAACCGGAGCCAGCGGGATGGGGGTCGGGTTGCAGGACTTGTGCTACATTTGCAAACTGGGGAAATATATTTAGCCACCGGGCCCGGCAGGAACAGGGACCTAAGTGCGTCGAGGCCGAGGAGGAGGCTTGGTATGCAGCCGTCAGCCATCCAATGCCCCAGCTGACGTGGGATAGGATGGGGGCAGTGCCCAGGGAAACCCCCCTCCCCTTTCTGCAGCTCACTCTCTCATTCTGCTGATGATGATCTCCTATGGACACGCAGAACCCTGTCCAGGACCACTTTGAAGCAACTGGCTGTGGACAACCTTGACAAATATGAGACTGAAGACCGATAGAGAAAATGTCGGTCTGAATCTGAAGCGATTCTACAAGCGTTTGATGCAGTTTAATATTTTCGCCACGATTCGCAGTCAGCCGCGACAACATCAAAAGTCATACGGCTCAAGTCAAAAGCAAGTCTTGAGTTTTTATTTACGAGTTGTAAATCCAAGCCATTTACCATAGTCCGAAGGGTGCCAAAAGTCATTTAGTCCAGGTCTTAACTCAAATTCAAATAAATGTGAATCAAAGTAAATTTGATTCAAGTACAAAGTCGATTTGACTGAAGTCATTGAGTTCCAGTCTTAACCTAACACAAGCTCCGAGAGCCAAAACCTAAAGTCATTTTGTCCAGGTCTCGGGCAGTTCTAGAGTCATGTAATCCAAATCCCAGTTCAAGTTGAAAGTCATTTGTTCAGAGTTTAACGCAAGTCTGAAGGGGGCTTCTTGTTCTATTCCATAACTAAAGTAATCTTGACCAACACATCGGGTCAAAACCCTTTTGTCCAGGTCTCAACCAAGCTCAAGTTCCATGCCACTTTCTTCAGTGATAACCAAGTCCTAAATCCTTGAGCCCAAGTCTAAAGCAGAACTACAGTCATTTAGTTCAGGTGTTCCAAGTCTTGAGCAAGTCCAAAGTCATCTGGCCCAAGTCTGAAGCAAGTTGCTACGGTCAACTCTCAAACCGATGTAAAGTCGTCGAATAAATCTAGGTCTTCAACTCAAGATTTATGTAATTTGCTTCAAGTCAATTCCAATTCTGAAGTCAAGTCCAAAGCTATATATGGGTGCAGATCTGAACTCCAAAGCCAATTGAAGTCATTTTTGCTTGGTTCAAATCCAATGTCATCTTGTCCTATTTTAATGGAGGTCTAAAGTAAAAAAAAATCCAAATATTAATCTACAGATCAGATCCTAAATCAAATTGGTAAAACAGATTACTTGTCCTTTCACTAGTGAAAGAAGCGATATCTTCTATCAGATAGGTGGTGCGCCAGTACTTTGTAATTTGGGGCCAATGTGTCCACTAGAGGGCAACCTGTGACCCGATCAACAGCCGGCTCTTGCTGATGACAACAAAGTCACCAGGCGAGGGTGACAGAATGAAGATCTACCAGTTGGCCAGACTGCAGCAACTGTGGGGGGCCCCTGCTGGCTTTCATATGTCACCACTGACAGCAACAACACACAACCCTGTGGGTCTAAAACAGAGTCCTCTGTTCAGCCACGTTGGTGGTGGTCGGAGTCCATGTCAGCTAATGACAATAGCGGAATACAGAATTGTATGACATGATGGGCGCATGTGGTAATTATGTTTAATTAGCATTGGTGGGTCTTTGGAAAATATTCTCCCCTGTAAGAGATACCTGAGGTCAAAAGTTTTGAGAACCCCTGCTTGAGACTTGTCATGCCAAGATCTGAATTGGTCTCATTTGCCCTGCATTCGTGACCACAATCAGCAAATTGAAGCTGCAACTGCTCCTGATAAATGTGTCAAGTCTTATGTTTTATTGTACGGTTATGTATGTTATTAAATAAACGTCTTCTTAACACCCAAGTATTTCAAATGTGGCTTCAAAACAGTGAAAAATCAGGCCTTTCACAGTGCATGGAAACCATGCTCTCTGTTCAACTGTCAGCAGTCCGTAAAATACTACTATGTCCAAAATCTTTCTTATGGCTACACATCACTACAGTACATGTTTGAGCTAAAAAAAAAATATATCTGCTTCAAGCCTCGGATGGCTGGGAAGATTACATCCCACCGAGCCTTTGTGGGGCCTTACACGCCCTGACGAGAGGCGCTAGCCACCAGCTAGCTCACAAGCTAACAGACTTACGGACCGGTGGCGGGCTCATCCGCTACGTCGCCTTCTCACTTAGCATTGTGTAGGTCCACATCACAAAAACCCTTCATGGAAACCCGACCGTTTATGAACACGGTGACACACGCCATTCAGCCTGTGTCTCACACTATATGAAAGGCATTCAAGCACATACATCCTGCTAGTTATATGTAAATGCTTTATGTAACACAAAGTACATAACAGTTAGGAACTGAAAATACCACACCGGGCGGTTCTACAAAGTGTGGCGTCCATGGAAGATGCGTTTTCAGGGAATAGGCACAGCTAGCTAGCTAACTGCACAAACTATATATAGCTAATTGCTAGCTAACTGCTAAAATTATATATTGAACAGTAGTGAGGGAGAGATAACTCATTCCGGTCACTGAAATGTGTAACTTAATCATGTTTTAGTCGTGGCCCCCCCCCAAAAAAAGAAAAAAATCTAGAAAGCGGAAAGGCTGAAAAACTGTTTAACACGATACTACAGGTATGTCTCCATAATTCAGTCAGTAGTAGTCTTTGCACATTTTCAGCACTTACATTCAAACATGTGTAACGCATGTCAAAACAAACATCTTCATTCACTTCACGGGGTCTTTAAATAAAAGGAGTCCGAAATGAATGGGAATGTTGTGATACTATTATCGGTGTATCAGTAGCAGGAAATCACATCCCCTTCCAACCACAGCATGTCATCGCCCAGGAAAGCGCAGCACGCATCAGCAGCGTCCGCGGCAGACAGTCATCTTCATCATGTTTTTGTTGAACTTGACGCGCGAACGAGGCTACGCAAACACGTAGGCCGCGGTGGCGGCCCACGCGCAAAAACAGAACGCCGTCGAAGCGCCGTCTCCCTCGCATCTCTATCCCACTGTGGCTGCGCACATGGGGGAGATTCAGTGGCCTGGTTGCCATAGAAACCAAGCCCCGGTGCACCAGCCAGCTCCGCCGACGGTTGATTGTGTGCATCTGTGCGTGTTTGAATGAGTATGCTCTTGCGTAGGTGTGTGCGAGACTATAATGCCCATACAGGGCCTTGGCCTTGAGCAGAACGAAATGAAAAATCGGGTGAAAATTGGGTACAAAACCGATAGGGTGCCTACAGGCTTTTTGGTCGTGATGTTTTTCAGATGAAAAGGCAGGACATCGGTTGCATGCCAAAGCAACAGGTGCTGCTGTAAACCAGAACGATACAGACAGCCAGTTGATCCAAGTCATTAATTTGAGGCCTAAAGCTCGTAATTGAGTCACTCCAAGCTTAAAACGATATCCAAGTAAATAGTCCAAAGAAGGTTTAAAATGATTGTTTCATCCTGGTCAAAAAGAACTCCAGAGTCAAAAGAGTTGAGCCTTTGCCGAAAACTAAACTACATCATTTAGACTTCATCGAAACCAATTCGAGAGCCGTGAGGTTGACATCTCTTTTATTCTGGTCCTTGATCCCAAGTCAGTAAATCTTAAATCACTGGGTCGAGTCAACTGAGTCTCAAGCTAGTTTAGAGTAATTAGACCCAAGTCGAAACGAAGACCCAAGTTTAAAAAAAAAAAAAGAAAAAAAAAAAGGGGATCTCATCCAAATCTAAACCCCAATTTTGTTCTAGCTCCTTGGTATCAAACGTATCACTAGTTCCAAGTCATTTAGTCCAAAACAAGTCATTGGGACCTCGTTCGTACGTCATCTAGTCTTAGTTTAGTCAAACGGCGCTCCAAGCCTAAAATACTTTGTCTCTCGTCTTGAATGAGATGACGAAGCATTCACAGTATGAGATCACTGTTAAACTATCGAAAACGTTTTTGAGTTTTGAGTCTGTGACATGTTTCATAACAGGATGAGCCAAACAGGAGGGATGTTACCTGTCGGACAAAGCTGTTGGACGTGGTGTCAGATGAGGTGCTTCCATCGGAGCGCTTGAAGCGGCTCTTCCTCTTGGCGTACTTGCCCTGAGGAAAAGAGAGAAGCGTGGGTGTGGGTTTGAAAGGAAAAAAGTTTGCCTACACATAGTGATTTATCTTAACAGATCGTTCTAAAAGCCCTGGCCGCTGTATGCGATGGGGTTGTAGATAAGGCGACATTAGCCTGAGAGGGAAAACACACACACACACACACAATTCATGAGCAGGCAAGGCGACTCCTCATTTTTCATGTTCCGTTGCAACCCTCTAATCAGATTGGCGGACCCCTGCCAAATGGGTTCTATCCGGGTTGGGCAGAGGGCGCTCATTACATTAGAAGCCCACCCTGCCCACATCGCCATGGTTACGCAATGCCGACTAATCACGTTTGCCGGGGAGACGGCCTGTTCTTCTTCTTCTTCTTTTTCTTCTTCTTCTTCCCGCGTGAAGAGAATGGCGGCTGCATCGGAAGAAAAACGTGCCGCCTAACAGAATGCCCACCTGTATGACACTCAGCGGACACTTTATTAGGTACACCAGCGAACTCAAACCACTCATGAGTGTTGCATTAATTTATTGTAATAATACGCCAAACCCGCAGGTCACAGCTCATAAAAAAAGAGATTTAATTTCTAAAAGTGTATTTAGCTCCTTGTCAGTGGGGAGGGGGGGAAAAAAAAAAGGCCAGGCAAATGTCAGCAACAGGAAGCGCCAGGGATTTGTGTTACTAAATGTCTCACCAGATTAAAAGTAGTATATAATTAAAGAGGAAGCAAGCAGGGGTGTTTATTCAAGTGGAAGCCTGGCGGGGGCAAACTTCCTTTCCTGCCCACCGGGTTATATATTTAAATCAATGAGATTAGTTTCATCACAGTTAGGTGGAAAGCTTACAATTCCGATTGTCTGGATGGGTATCACAAAATAGCTTAAAAATGGCAACCTAAATCAAACTACGGGGAGTAGTTGCTCCTTTAAGATCCAAATGTTGACCATTGTTCATCAAAAGATCAAATGCAAGGAATGCAAATTTCATCTCTAATCATCTTTTTCCATTAAAAATCAGAATCAAATGTATTGGCCAAGTATGTAAAAAACACACAAGGGATTTACTTTCTCAGGTAAAAAAAATAAAAATAAATAGAAACGCCCTAATTATGATCCAGCCGCCCCAAGAAAAGAACAACAAATATCGTAATATGTATTTTAATAAGGAAAAATAGCACCCCATAATATTGTACATCATAAAAACATACAGACTTGACATATTTAAATCGCCCATTTTCATCCCACTTTATCCATGACATTGGGCCACTTGTTTCTTTCCTCTCAGCTCATCAGTACGGCACTAATATATGTCATTCTTCATGGAAGATAAAGAATATATGACCGTGAGTACTGTTATATTGTCGACCGACATGAGTTA